AACAGTATCATGCTGCAAACTGGACCTTGTTGCTAACAGAACCTCACGGTCATCAGAACCACCCTGCCAATAGGACCATGCTGCTGTAGATTTATTTCTTTTTCACTTTTGGCACAGTGTTTCTGCATTTTTGTTGCATGCTTTGAATAAATCCCAGTTTATGTTAGTTTAGTTTATGTTAGTGCTCGCAATAAGCGTGTAAATTATAGTCAAACCGAACTTATGAGAATCGTGCTGCTTTTGTTCGGTGTATTGTTTTGCATTGTCAATGTTAGCGTATAGATCTTTTAGCATACTGTTTGGTGCTCATTTAGCATAGATTCTTATTTACCGTTTCTTTTTATGCTTTATATTTTTGCTATTGTTTGATATACTGTAACTAGGACCCTGTGTACACAGTTTTGTTCCACCTCATGTACCACATGTGATGCGAATGACAGTAAAGAATCTCTGAATCCTTGAATTTATAAATCAATCAAAAACGGCAACAAGGCTCACCAACAAGCAAGCACAGGACAAAAAGAAACATTTATAAATCTACAGAATTAAAAACAAGACAACAATGTCACATCAGGTTGAAGGTCAGAGAGTACGTGTGTTTTAACAAATTGAAAAACAACAAATTCATGATGTTAGTCCAAGAACACCAACTAAAAATGTTAGATAGTGGTTATCATTAAATTAAAACATCTCTGTGGATGATCTGCACCTTCACAGCCTCCTTTGACCTTTGTCTGGTCCTTTGAGTCTCCTTTTCACACTAATGCAAACAGCTTCTTTTATTCTTTAGTGCATTTTCTCCATCTACGCTCACGCAGATGGCGTGAGATTCTTCTCGCTGAGGTTGAGCTCAGTGTGGAGCACAGGAGTACAGATTTGTAGAAGACGTGGGGATCAAACTGTGTCCCAGAGTTTATTTTATTCATTGCCACATCAAAACAAACAGCAACTTTACAGTTTCTTCAATGTTTTAATGTCATATTGATCATTGGAGCCATGCAAAATTAAAATGATGGCCACATTATATCACCTCAGTGCAGACCCTTATTGTGCAGGTTATTGATCTCATGGTCATGCATCACTTGTGGCCACTCACCAGTGGAACTAACTGGTGACCATTCTTTTAATTCCCAACAGTGCCAGGGTGACAGATCTTAAGGCAATTTGAGTCACGTATTTAAAAAAATAATATGCTGAATCAAAGGATCAACATTATTGTAATGTCTTAAATAGATGGTTATCTTAATGTTGCATATAAAATAATAATAATAATGGAAAAGCATCCATTCCATCAGCCTGGTTATAACAGATTCCCTTACCAACACCTCTAAAGCCTAACATTTACCAAGTTTTATCTCACTGGTTACATACAAAACAAATTAAAAAGGCAATACATATCTCTGTTTATTTTACTTTTTGAATTTGATGTGTTGCATCAGCGTTTCTCAAACTTTTCATAATGAGCACCACTTGGTACAAAGATCTCCACATACCACCAGTATGACAGACAGTTTTCTCTGAGGTTCTCAAAATATTTTCCATCACTTTGTTTCAAGTAGTTTCCAACAGGAGCCAATATCACAGCTGGTTTGAACCGTCTATCTTTTGACTGTCTCTGCTTTATAGCTTCACATTATATTTCAAACATTACAGTTAACATCGCGGAGTGAGGAGGGGGAATTGAAAATGCCCTCCATCCGTCCGCTCATGTTGTGAAAAATAAGTGAGGGACTGACTTCCATTTTGATGTGTTGCATGTAGGCGTAAGAAAGGTCACTATCAAAAATTGGGTTGCCAAGTCAAAATTCAAGATGGCCACCACCATATATATTTGTAAACCGGCCACCCCAGTTATGTGAGGAAACTTTGCTTTCTAATGTTTATATTGCTTAAAATTACAGTTTCCTCAAATGACTGGGGTGGCTGAAGATTACTCTATGGTGGCCGAGGCCACCATTGGCCACCACCTAGCTCCGCCAATACACCTAGTGGTGAATAAAATAATGTAGCTCCCTGCACTCAGCAGGGTCATCACTCTGTGCTACCTCGAACAAGAAAAAAACAAAACATCCATCCTTCCATCCATCCATCATTTTTACCCACTTCTAACTTTTAGGGTCACGGGGGTCACTGGTGCCCACATACAGCAGTCACTGTGCGAGAGGCGGGGTACACCCTGGACAGGTCTCCAGTCCATTACAGGGACACATAGAGACAAACAAGACAAACAACCATTCACTCTCTCACTCACACCTAGAGACAATTAAGAGTTACCAATCAGTCTAACATGCATGTTTTTGGTCTGTGGGAGGAAACTGGAGTACCCGAAGAAAACCCACACATGCACGGAGAGAACATGCAAACTACACCCAGAAAGGTTCAGGGCTGGGATTTGAACCGCCAACCTTTTCGTTAAGAGGCAACAGCTCTACCAACTGAGCCACTGTGCCACCTGCGAACTAAGAGGGGGGAAAAAAAATAAAAAAATAAAATAAAATAAATAAACCTATATTTTTATAAACTGTGTAACTTCTACCAACTTAAATTTCTTGCACCAAAACATTAAGGTTTACTTGCATTGCTTGTTCAATTTTAGTCCAGAAAAACATTTCAAAAACTACAAAACATTCACTATTCAATTCCCTCATCGATGGGGACTTCGATATATTGCTTGTTACCTTGTTATTTAATAAAGGAACTTCATTTCTTCTGAGCGCCACTGCAGGGTTTGAGTAAAACTAGTGGTGCTTGTTGTTGGAGAAGGAAGGTGTTACACTGTAAAACTAAAAAGTATGCATGTTTCGTTAAATTAAATGTATTATGTAAACCTTAACTAAGTTATAGCATGGGAAGGCTTGGTTGGCTGATTTATTACCTTTGTAAAATTTATTTTATTGTGTAAATAAACAAATAAAGTTGTATCCACTGTTCAAACAAGATGCTAATAGCTAAGCAAAGTATATCTATGCTTTACTTTCATGACTTGTTTTAAAACCTAATTACTTGATATTAAGAACAATTGTTAAAGACTTAATTTAAAGGTTTTTGTTCTGACTAAAAAGGTTTACACAATAAACAATAGGCATCATAAGCCATTACTTGCAGTTTAATGACATCAGAGGTTGCTCAGCTCATATCTTCTGCCTCCTGTAAGGGTCAGAGTGGTGTCTCTGATTAAAAAGCCTCCATACATTAGCATCCATAATTTATGAGTTTAATGGGAGCAATAAATGTCGTCCTCACCTGCCTGAGGTCTGACAATGACAGACACGTCAGCTTCAGTATCAGCAGTGTTGGCAGCATTGTGCATGCAGGAAGCTGCAGAAAGGGCAGTGCGTGGTGACGGCTGGTGACCTTGCTGTTGAGTTCACTAATCTAATGTTTTCCCTCAACCCATTTGAATCTTCATGCAGTCGGGATAATTTCATTTCTTTTTGAAGCTGGAGCAGATGGCTAGAACAAAAACAGTATGCAGTCTCTTGGGATAGACAATGCATGTGCAGGCAAACAGCATGTTATGTGCTTGTAGATGATTGCATGAGCCTGCTCTGCTGCTAGACGTGACAAAACAATCTGTTTACTTTATGGACTCGGATCAGATGGCAACAAACGGCATATTCAAGCTGTAAAAGTGCTACGTCTGACCTAAAGATTACTACCAGTGGCTTTGATTTACAATGATGGCTTTAATGTGCATTTATTTTTGTATCCGTCAGAACATTTCTGTCCAAAATACACTCGCGTCTCACCAATCACACCACCTGACAGGTTCACGTGCTCTTAGCATCAGCGTTTGTAACAGAACAGCGTTTTTGTCCTGCCCATTTGTGTCTCAGGAAACTATTACGGCACGCCTCGGCCCGTTCACATAAGCTCAGAGAGTTCTCCCATCACCTACCAGGAACACCGCAACCTGCTCAGAAATTTCCGCACCCGGAGCAAATCCCTCAGCAACCTGGAAAAGGCTGCAGATGAAGGCGTAAACGGCGAGGACGGCTCAGGTGGGTCACGCATTGCTAATAGTGACGACTGGACAAGCACTGCAAGGTTTTGGGGTTCTTTTCATAGTTTGCTGCATAAAAAGCAGTAACAGTAGCAATAATAAATTGTTTTTGCTAAGCTCAGCACAGTAATGTCTCTCTGTCTATAGCTTGAGTCTCCGCTGCTCAAATTAATCAATCATTAGCACTATTAGTATGCTGGAAACTCTCAGTGGAGCTGTGGCTTCATTGATTGCTGGAGGAGCTCCAAAAGTAGCTCCTTTTGCCTTCATTTGCTCCAGAGCAGGCACAGAGGGAAACAGATAAGCAAGCTTGGAAACAGGAAAGAAAAGGAGAAAAAAACAAACATTGAAACAGTTAAGGGGTTCACTTATCTTTTCTGAAAGTTAAAGAATGCCACATCTTTTAGGTGGGAGAGTTTAATATTCAGTTGGTTTTAGTGGCAGAACTCCTGTTTCTGGAGGTTTTTTAATCTCAATATCAGCAAGTTAGACAACAAGTTGCCAGGTAAACTTTAAACATCAGCTCAAGATCAACTACTTTTTGAAGGGATGGCAGGTGGGGGTGAGTTGCAGCTTGTTCTTTGTGTCACCAGATACCACTGAATCCTATGAGCTTATTGTCCACTGAGTCAAATAGAAATTTTAACCACGGTGGCTCAAATCAGTGCGTGCCCCACTGGTAAATCAAAATTTACAAGTAAAAGGCGCGATCGTCCCTTAAAGTGAGCGTAACTTGAGGGGAATGAGAGATGAAATGGTCAGGGTGAAGTCACCACTACAGAGGGCTGCTTTTGGCAGGTTGTGAGGAGTGTTAGTGCAGATTGAGGCATGGAGCCAGAGTCCTGCAGGAGAAGAGGAAGAGGGACCCAGAGTGGGAGGGGGGCAGTGTAGATATGCAGGCAGACTTCCAGATATTTAGAAACGTGCTCCTAACAGTCGGGTACAGGGCAGCTGGCTGTCAGGACTGCAATGACTGAGACAGGATGAAGTCTGAAGAGAGAGTCCTCCAACAACCTGACCTCTGCTGACTCATCCACTGAAGTGGAACTTTGTGTGTAGACGGGTCGGCAGCACATCATGTGCAGCAGGGTTCTGACGCCCAGAGTCTGAAGTTTCTCAGATTCACACTGGAGTTCACAGCTGAAGGACAGTTATGGGATAAAATATGCTAATATTTGTTCTTGTAGTTGCATGGTATGCACTGCTACACATTCTTACTCGTGAGTGGGAGGACAAAGTTGACAGAGATGCCGATCTCTGCTCTTTTTGCCCAAGACCCTTCAATGGAATTTGCAGTACCAAGTCAATGCGGTGCAAGAGAAACTCGCACGTCCTCTATCTGTTGAATATGTGATGAATGTTGGTATTTTGCTCCTGGTCTCTACAGGAGGTGTGAGAAGCAGCGTTCCTCTTGGCCACCGGTCTCCCGGTCGGCCCCGGGCAGCCAGCAGCGGAGGGGATAGTCATGTCGTAGAGAATGGGGTCATCGGCGGCAGAAGAGGTGGCAGAATCAGAGGAGTGATGCCGGATCACTGGGAGCAGGCTTTCAGTGACCCTGGAGAATCTCTTGACATCGAGTGAGTGGCCCCCGACTACAAAACTAACAGAAATAGTTTTGACAAATACACAAATCATGCAGTCTTTACACACTTACACCAACGAGACCAAGTCAGGGGCTCATTGGAGGTACACTCAGCTCAGCTATCATTAGCTACGTTTACATGGACATAAGTAATCAGATTAAACGGCCATTTAGAATAAAAATGCGTCATGTAAACGCCCCATGCAGATTATTCTTTGTTGATTCAGCTTGAGCCGAATTAATTTGTAATCTGAATGAGAGGAATGATTTATGCTGATTCATAATCTGAACGGTGTGCATGTAAACACTTAATCTGATCATTTTATTCTGATTTTGGAAAACTGACCTGACTGCGCATGTGCGACCTATGTCAACGTCAAGTATCTCCGCCTGGCTAGATGCTAATATGTCGAGGAAGCAAAACTGGTTCGTGAGCGACACAACTTTTCTACTAGAAACTTAGAAAAAGCTCAAAATGACCTGTATCACCTGTAGCTCCATCAGTGAGTGCAATAACGTCTCCACCATCATTAAAACCTATCGCGGGTCCATTTGGGGCGCTCAGGTTTGTTTAAGTTCATCACTGAAGTAGAACTTCTTCTTCTGTGTGTTTTTTAATGAGAGTTTACCACTCTGTGCATGTCAGTACTTGTATTCTGAATAAAAGCTCGCTGCATGTAAACGCTCATCATGAACGGATTGTGCCCATGTAAATGATACATTCAGATTATTTAATCTGAAAACATTTCAATCCGATCAAAGAATTTTGCACGTGTAAACATAGCTATTGAGAATGATGATGATGATGATGTTCCTGTGTTGGTGTTTTACTGTATATGTGAGGTGATAAACGTGCTGAGACGGATCGAAGTCCTCCTGGCTTGCCACATAAACACTACTTATCCAACAAACCTCAGCTGAACTTCGAGTTACTGCAGCCTTAGAGAAAACTTTAAGACCGCCACAATGTTCAAATAACGATTTAGAAACACCAAGAAACGAGAGAAAACTAAGAAATATTAAGCAATAATGCAAGAGAAAACAAAGGCTCCGTCTGTGATAAATTTGAACAAATAGTACTCATCAGTGTGTAGCTATGCTTCAGTGACTCAAATATGTTTACTGCCAATTGCAGTGGTCAGAAATAATAAACGAGAATTGAACAAAAGTGCTAATATTTACTGCTTTTCTCAAAATGTCAGCATTTCAATGGCTGCAAAGTTAAACTTGCCTCTGATAAGTAAAAAAATCAAGTTGTGTTGTTGCAAGTTATTTTTTGGGAAAGTCGCACGTTATAATGCAGTACTTGCAGGCTGGTAGAAATGCAGTATTTCTGTGTACTGATGTGCTGCGTGAAAGTACAGAAGGGTCAGATTTGATTGATCGCCTCTCTTAACAAGATCTGTAGTCACAGAAACAAAGAAATGACAAATGTAAATGAAGTGCAGTAAAATGTCAGTGCTGTTGTCGTTCAGCTGATTCAGCAGCTCACTGTGTGTAAGCACACACTGATACTGAGCCTGAAACCAGTGAGGAGCATCAGATGTTTGACACAAATAAACCCAAACTCCACAGAGATAACTTTACGAGAATCAGCTTCAACCTAAATTAATCCAATAAATGCTGCAATAAAACGGTGAGATAAACAGACGTTTTTGGTCAGAAGTTCTCCCAGTTGTATTTTTGTAATTGCTCACGTTTTTTGAGTAAGTGAGAGGTGCAACTATTTAGATCCAGAGAGTGCATGTAGGATTTCTCCAGATGTCCTGATCTTGTTACAGTGAACTCATGGAGGACACAAAAACAGCCTGACAGAGGGTCGGGTGCCAAAAACAGGGATAGAGTCAGTCCTGGGAAGCTTTGCTCACATGAGGGGCAAATAAAACTGTATAAAAAACAGCAACAAACAGCACAAGGTCTAAAACTAAAACTGAGAACACTAGAATAAACAAGTTTTGAGCACAAAGACAGCACAGAACAAAGTACTCTGGGATGAATACACATAAAGTGTGTAAAGAAGAGCACAGGTGTGGGATAATCAGTCAACCGAACACACGCATGGAGCAGAACAATGACTCAAGTGTTGAACCAAAAACAGCTTTCCTTTAAAACAAGCACTGAACACAGAGCTGTAATGCTCAGCTATCATGCAGAAACACAAGCAGGAATTTCTGTGAGACTCATTGGATAAATCTAAATAAATATACACACACATGCACTTTTCAAAGCAGAACAACATGAAAAAACATGTTATTTTTATTTTAATTAAAAATCAAATCGTAATTCAAAATCTTACTTCTAACCTACAAAGCTCTCAACAACCTAGCTCCATCTTATATTCGAGATCTTGTTGTTCCATATTTTCCTAACAGAGCACTTCGCTCTCAGACTGCAGGTTTACTCGCAGTTCCTAGAGTTTCCACAATCAGAATGGGAGGAAGATCTTTTAGTTATCAGGCTCCTCTCTTGTGGAACCAACTTCCAGTTTCTGTCTGTGAGGCTGACACATTGTCCAGTTTTCAGACTGGGATTAAGACTTTCCTTTTTGATAAATCCTATAATTAGGGTTGGCTTGTTATGCTGCTATAGGCTTAAACTACCGGAAGACAAATTGACCTCATTTCCTTAAATGAATTGTTAAAATTGAATAGTTTTTATTTGATACTATTTCTGTCTTAACATGTGATTTTTGACCTGCCATTGTGTATCTGTTCCCCTCAAACCCAGCCGGTCGAAGCAGATGGACGCTTGTCCTGAGCCTGGTTCTGCTAAAGGTTTCTTCCTCATGAGGGAGTTTTTCCTTTCCACTGTCGCCTTCATGCTTGCTCAAGATGAGAGTCTGCGATGGAGTTAGACTTAAAGCAGTCTGCTCCTCAGATAATGTGAAATTATTATTTTTATATATGAATGTTTCTGTTCAGTGCCCAGAGATGACTTCTGTTGTGACTTGGTGCGAATTAAATAAGTAAATAAACTGAATTGAATGAAATTTTATAATTCTATTTTTAGATTTATGCTGATCAATGCTGAACACTTCACCTTATCTATCATAAACCTTTCCACAATCTACTTAACCAGATCCCAACCATCAAACATCATTTAACTTGTTGGAACTGCAGCTTGGTCTCAGTATTTACAGGAAGTCTCCAATAAATTTCTCCTGTGAGCTTGTTTTGTCCCTGTCATAATATCCAAACCTGTTTTCTCTCTTTTACACACACACTTGTGATTTCGGTGGTGCCCTGTGCATGCAGGTGGGTTGGTAACAGCGGACCTTCTAGCTGATCCGATGGAGCATCAGCTGAGCCAGAAAGGAAAAGGTGGAGGCTTCAAATTAGGGTCTTTTTCTCTCTCAAAAATTCTAAAAACCAAGTAAGTTGTTGGTCACTAGATTATGTTTCTTAGGTTTACATTTAGATTTGTTTTGGGCTAGTTCTTATGCTAATCTTTAGTTAGTTAATGTTGTCTTTGATCAATGTTTTTGGGGCGGTTGTGGCTGAGTGGTTAGAGCAGTTGTCCTCCAATGGGAGAGTTGGGGGTTCAATTCCACCAGCAGTCACATGTTGAAGTGTCCCTGGGCAAGACATTGAACCCTTCATTGTCTCTGATGTGTGTCCCATCGGTGTATGAATGTGATAAAGCTCTGATTAGACTCTACAGATTCAGATTAGCCTTGTAGAGATGTAGTAGAATGTATGAATGTGTGTGTGGATAGATAGGAGCGCATAGATTGTGTTGTAAAAAGCTTTGAGTATATTAGATAGAAAAGTGCTATATAAGTACAGTCCATTTACCATTTTGAGTTACTGTGGTTAGGTCATGTTGTAATCTCTTTTGGTTTAGTTTCAGTTACCTAAAACTGTGCGGTTTGTTTTGAATGTAAAAAATAGAAGTTCAAGCATGAGCTAAACGTGTTAAAAAACATAAAACCAATCCTAAAATTCAGTGGTTTATAAAAAAATACAATTAATTCATTTACCCTTGATTTTGACAGGTGCTAGAATCACATTTAAAGGCCAAGTGGGTTGTAAATAGTGACCCCTAGAGGCAAAACTGCAAATTGCAACCAACTGGATATTTCATATAAATGTTTAGGGGAAAAATGATGCAAGGTGAGATAAATTTGAGCTATATAGTTTTTATTTTATTTTACAATGCATGAAAAGGTGCTTATGGATATTATGCTGCAAATCTACCAATAGATGGGGCTGAAGGTTAACAACTGAGCCTTTAAAGATGTTCAAGTATCTTTATTGTCATTTGCATCACATGTGGTACATGGGGTGGAACAAAATTGTGTTTTATGTTAAAACAATGTTGTTTTAGTTAAACAAGACATGAAATGTGACAGAGAAGTTAATTATCCTTGCATCAAAGTTCAAATGAAACAAAAAAAGTGATATTTACTTCCACACATGTCCATGTTTTTATTCAAAGATGGTCAAGTAAAAGAGACTCTCGCATGCACCCCGATATTCTCTCCATTATTTTTATTGGGACTTAAAATTTACAAAAGCAATTCATTGGATATAAAAATCTGATTAATTTTTTATCCAAGACATAAAAATTTCTTAAACTAGGTTTTGTCACCCTAATAGCCTCCACAGAGCTTGAGTCTCCCCAGGCTTGAACCAAACCTACGTCCACAGAAAGCAGACATTTCCACGGGGAGTTGGAGCACACGTGCAGCAAATAATAGTGCTTTTTTATTGCATCATTTCGCTGAAGAGGATGACTTTTCTTCTGCTTCCCCCCTCTCTCTCCAAGGCGCAGCCCAAAAAGGACCAGCTGGCAGAGTCCTCGACACTCAAGCAGGGAGACCCTTTACAAAAATGAACGTGAGCCTCTTTGTTCCTTCGTTTTTCTTTCCTGTCTCACTCAGTGCAATTATCAGAACACTGGCAACATATTTCTCTGAGTGTCCCAAATGAAGCTATGAATTTGCCACAGATAGAAGTCAAAAACCCAACCAGCTTGTTCGGGTAAAATGAGACAGAATGAGCTTTTTGCCAAACAGAAGCATGTAAGTGATTAACGCCTAAAGCTCTGAGCTGCTGGCACAAAGCCAGACCTGCTGCACAGGCTGGCAGGGTCAGCATGGGGATGACATGTGACCGGCCTCATGATTCACTGCTAAAAAAAAAACAAGAATAATACAGTTTCTCGTGCATGCCTATCTATAATAGAAATTTGCTGTGATTCCAGTTTCACAGTGACGTAGTACATTCCTTTCACCAGCAGAAGGTGCAACAGTATTTGTTTTGCTCACAGATGCAGGGGACCAGATTTCAGTCGATGCTATCTGTAAAGTGCAATATGATGGGTTTAAATGCAGACATCTTGAAGGGATTGTTGCACCTCCTGTTACATCCAAGACAGGTTTACGTTAGGAAGTGAGCGGTACAAACCATATCCCTTTTCACAGGGGTGTTGATCCAATGTTTCAGATAACCGTCAATAACATGGGCCTAGATGCTGAGCTTGGTCAGCTAATGGATTATGTTTTGAAATTTAACTTGTAGTCAGTAATGCATTTTGCTTTTAATGCAATCTCTCCACCATATGCTTTGGTTTGAGTAGCATTTTATTAAAAGCCATCTGGCGATTGGTTTGAGTATTTGTCTCCATTTTTTTCTTCGTAAAACGAGTCTCTTCCAACCACTTGGTTGTAGTTAAACACACCGGACTGTCCTCACTTCGTTCTTCTTGGTATTGTATTTTTTTTGGATTTCCTGAAAATTAAAGGTAAGCGTCATCATTATCCAATCTGTCTCTGGGTGTTTCTTCTGCAACTCAGCAGGGTTCACAGACCGGCCTGAGGAGCTCAGGGGTTTTCCTGTGCACACACACTTGATCAAAGGCTCCAGAGGGTTTGGTTTCAACATCGTTGGAGGCAGCAGGCCAAGAGAGTTCCTCCAAGTCTACAGCGTCACAGCAAGTGGACCCTCAGCTCTCCAAACAGGTAACATTAGAAGACAGGTGAAGAACAAACTCTTCAAACAAATTACTTCCTTTGGTCAAAACACTTCATTTGGCATGTTTGTTCAAGTGATGCAACCTTTATAAACATTTTATTTAAATCAGAAGTATAGTTAGTGCAGAATTCTTGGTCACTTTTGCTCTTTACGAGTGTAACGCTAAAGATTTCTGATCGCCCAGAGAGTGTAGATCAAAACCCTTAATCCTCGGGGCCAGGCACCATAATCTTGCTATCATGACATTTGCAAATACTGTAGCGCACAGCCTGTTTATGGGCATGCATGCAATGCTTGTACAGGCAGATATCATCACTTTGTGAGGCCAGGGCACAGGCTGTCTCTGCAGGGACTGATCTGGTTCATATCTGTTAACAGGCTGGTTTAGGAGGATTAGGTTTTTTTTTTTTTTTTGGATTAGTCCTCCCCACCCATACGAAACACACGCACAGGGTTTTATTCTCAAAATACATATAAAAAAATGAAAATTTTTAAAGCCCAAGAACTAAAATATTCCTAAAATCAAATGTAATATTTCCATCTATGTGCTTGTTGTAGCGGACATCTTGGTGTACATCGACAACGTTTGTGTGTTGGGAGTGTCACACAAAGAGGTTGTAGAGATGCTCAAATCAGTCCCTGTGGGTCGCAGCGTGGATATAGAGGTTAGGAGGGGGTATCCCATGCTCTTCAACCCTGACGGTCGTCCCAAGCAACCCTCGCCAAGATTAATGGACGGCGAGGACCGTGTTCTACCCACCACCACCCAGCCTCAGTCTCTTCATCAACTACCTCGCCTCCCAACAGCTGCACCCCAGACCCAGCACTTTAACGGGCTCCACAGTGACGGGGGCTACATGCAACCCGGTGTGACTCTAGATGCCAATGGAAACGCAGTATCTTTTGCCTCCAGACCACCACCCCCGTACAGACGTTCCAGCGTGAGCAACGCTGCTGTTTCCTCCCCTGTACTCCCGCCTCGGTTCCTGAAAAGTTTAGCCAGGCTGCAGTCACTGGACCCGACGCTGGCCAGCCAGAGTGACAGTGAAGTTGTGTCTGCGATTGGTTCCCACAGGTAACACCTCGTACGGCATGAAGGGGGGTCAACATACCGTAGAGACGCACGGTAAAGTGCAATGACTTTTGTTTTGATCGTAACTACCGTTCTTCTTTCTTGTCAGGGCGTCCGTGATACGAAATCACAACAATAACTCTCTTTCAACGCCCCCCCATCTTTTACGTTATGGAACTTCAAAGTCATCTGAAAGTGACCTGTCCACCTGCACCGTTCCAGGGTCTCGGCTCCCACTGCCTGAGTCACCACGGAGGCCTTCCTCTTCCCCCAGCGGCCCCAGCTTCACTCACTCTCACCTCTTCAGACCACACACCTCCCACCTCAGACCTCCTTCCACCTCGGACAACCCCCACCATCGTGGCTTTAATGGCTTCCATGGCAGCACCAGTCCAACTGCCAGCCCCAGCAGTGTGTCCTCACCTGGGGCGATGAGTGTCGGCAGCGGGTTTGGTAGTTTCAGCGGGGGGGAGCTGGTCCCAGTGGTCTTGGCGCAGACTGAAGAAGACAGAGGCCTCGGCTTCAGCCTGATGGCTGGGGGCACTGGGGGCAGTGTGACTGTAGTGGAGAGAGTCTGGGACAGGAAGCAGTGCAACTCCCTGCAGCCAGGGGATGCTGTTGTCAAAATCAATGGTGCTGATGTCCAGAGCCTCAGCCATGCTCAGGTACCACAGGAACGGCATGACATGTTCACTGTCAGTCTTTTAAAACTCTTCTCCCTGGCATTTTGCTTAAATACAAATAATCTGCTTGAACATTTACTTAACTGCTGTTTAATATACTGTATTACTTTACATTATTAGTGTTTAGCGTATATCTTAGATCTTTTAACGTATCGTTTAGTATTCGTTTAGCATATATCTTAGTGTATATCTTGGATTCTTATGTACTGTTTCTTTTTATACATCATATTTTGGCTATTTTTTATGGGGTGCCATTTGTAAAGTTACACAGTCAAAAATTAGCAACAATATTTTGGTTTATTTAGCCTTTCCTAAGAAATTAGTTTTTGTTTGTTTGTTTTGTTTTTCAACGTCATATTTTCACCAATTCATAAATTTATAAATGTCATAGTTCCAAACTAAATATTTAATTTACAAGTTAAATATTTATTTTACAAACTAATTACTTAACTTGCGAGTTAAATATTTAGTTAGCAAGCTAAATATTTAGCTACACACTAAATATTTAGTTTACAAACTAATTGTTTATGTCCAAGATAAATGTTTAATTTACAAATATTTAGTATATGGCCAGCGAGTTAGCAGAGAACATCGGACGAGCTGTTCAAATGGCTATACAGTCGTTCACTTATGTCCATGCCCAGAAGAAAAGAATGATGATAAAATATGGCAAGTGAGAGAAAACTGAAGTGATTCAGTCTGGCCAGCTACAACTCTTCATCTGCTTCTTCTTCTTCTAGTTCTGGTGTTTTATGACAGTTTGGCAAGAGGTGTATATATATAGAGGTTTGGCATTTATTTTGATGGTCCACTTCCGCTTTTCGGCAAGGAATTTGCATAGTAGCTAAATATTTAGGTTTGAGCTAAATATTTAACTTGCAAGTTAAATATTTAGCTAACAAGTTAAATATTTAGGTCCGAGCTAAATTTTTAGTTAGCAAATTAAATATTTGTTTTGGAAATTAAATAATTGGTTTGGAAAATAAATATGTAGGTCTGAGCTAAATATTGAGTTAGCAAATTAAATATTTATTTTGGAAATTAAATGTTTAGTTTAGAAAATAAATATTTAGGTCTGAGCTAAATATTTAGATAGCAAATTAAATATTTAGTTGAGGAATTAAAATTTTTGCTTAGAAATTAAATGTTTAGTTTAAAAAACAAGTATGTAGCTTGGACAACAAATATTTAGTTTGGAAATTAAATGTTTGGTTTTGAAAATAAATATTTAGCTTGGAAATGAAATATTTAATTTACACCTAAATATTTAGTTTACTAACTCGATATTTAACTGGCAAGTTAAATATTTTGTTTGTAAATTAAACATTTAGCTTGGACACCAACATTTAGTTTGTAAATTAACTAAATTTTTAGCTTGGTAATTAAATATTTAACTTGCAAATTAAGTATTTAGTTTGTAAACTAAATATTTAGCTTGCAAATTAAATGCTTAGTTTGGAACTATGACATTAAATGAATGAATAACATGATGAAAATATGACTTTGAAAAGAAACAATTTTTTTCTCTTCTGAATGACTAAATCAACCAAAATAATGCTTTTAACTTTTCAGTGTGTAACTTTACAAGCGCCCCCTAATTTTTAAGTGTAACTGGAACCCTGAGTACACAAAATCGTTCCACCTCAAGTACCACATGTGATGCGAATGACGATAAACTTGAACTTAACATGTATTTTTTTTAAAGTGTTTATTAGATTAATGGGAAAATACCATTATATGTGTTCTTACAGATAAAAACAATTCTGCAGGAGCACACCAAACAGGGAGAAGTAATCCTGCTGGTTTACAGAGGAGGTAAATGATTCACATCCACTGTAGAGACTTTTACTAACTTACCTACAAATAATCACCCCTTTAGGTTTCTGTTTTCTTTTTGTCGTCAGGCAATTATCATTCTGTCTCTCCTGGCTCCTTTCGGAGACTCCCTCCACCTCTTCTGCGCCCCCCACCGCCTCCTCTTGGCACCGACAACTCCTCTGTGCTCCCAGAAGTGCTGCCTAAGCCCCGTACCTCCACAGACACCCCTCCGTCTCCAGTCCCCTTGAATTCCTCACTGATCCAAAGCACCAGTTTCTTGGAGTCGATTCCTGTGACCCTGACCATGGAACCCAAAGACTGGACTGATATAGGTCTGGAGGACGAGGCTGGCGGTGTGTCGGTGCCTCATGCAGCTCGGGAAAATACGAAAGGGGAACGGAACCGACAGTTTAGAGGGTTTGATGTGGAGCTGAGGAGAAAGCCCGGGGAAGGCTTTGGCTTTGTCATCGCGTCTCAGGATGTGGAAAGTGGCAAAGGTCAGAGCTATTACCATCTACTGCAGTGTTGTAAAATGCAAAATTAAATGTTTTTCACCAAAGGGAGAATCTTTTCCAACCTTTTACAAACATTTGGTTTTGAATGGTTCATTGAGAACACCACTTGTGCTTGGCAACTTCCTGTTAGCTGAACTCACATGGACTACTCGTCTCTCTTTGGAGAGTTTAAACCTTTACGAACAAGTAGCTTTTGTTTAATTTTTGCAAACTTGCTGACACAACTTCCCTGGCTATAACAAATGATAAAAGTCGTTAGCTTTAGCTTTTAGCAAGAAATCAATAGTTGTTTTCACTAAAAGTCTTAACCCAGAGGTCTACGCCTGAGGCAGCTGTGGCTGAGTGGTTAGAGCAGTCATCCGCCAATGCGAGAGTCGGGGTTCGAGTTTGATTCCACTAATAGTCACATGCTGAAGTGTCCCTGAGCAAGACACTGAACCCCTCAATGCCTCTGATGTGTGTCCCATCGGTGTATGAATGTGATCTAAAGCACTGATTATAGATCTAGTAGAGTGATGTTGTAAATGAGGGCACATGTGGTGTAAAGAGCTTTGAGTATCTTGATAAGATAGAAAGGTGCTATACAAGTACAGTCCATTTACCATTTATGTCCCAATCCCTGCAGGCCTACGATGTTTTGGCAGAATCAAGGCCAGTAGCCTACACATCATTAGGCAGGTAGTTTTGTGTTTGTATTTTTTAATTGCATCTAACTATTATAACTATATTGTTGGGAGCTTTGGTGTGGCTGTGGCATATGACTGCCAATTGGAGGGTTGTTGGTTCAATCCCAGCTTCCCTCACCACAGAATAAAGAGCTCATTTATACCAATGGTACCTTAATGTTCTTCACCTCTCAGTCTGTGTTCTTCTGGTAGCTTCAACTTGTTTATGTTCTTTATGTTCCGTTGGAGAACCGATCTGCCCTTATCACCCATCTGGGCACTCTTTATTGTATGTGTAGCAGGTGAACCGCAGCATCCTTGTGATGCATCAACCCCCACTCCCCCCCATTCTCTTGTATTGGCTGCCACAGGATGCAGTTAGGTTTGTTTTATGGCCTGAGATAAACACGTGTTTGTGTTTTCATGGTGACACTGAGGTTGTAGGCGTGGCTTTTTTTCTGCAGTGAAAAGACTATGTTGTTATAAACCTCCATCTCCATCATGCCCCCCCCCCCCCCCCCTTCATTTCACTTTTGTCTTGTCACAGAAAGTAGTCTCTTCTTTTTCCTTCCTATCTTCCTCTCTCTTTTTATGCCTCTCCCATCCCGTTAGCTCCCACCCACTCTCCATCTCTCACCCTTTCCTCTCTGCAGTAAAAGCGTCCGGTCTGGTTTTTCAAAAAGATTAAAACTCTCCCTCTCTCTCCTCCCTATCTGCCTCACTCCTTACCTCCCGCTCTCCCCGTCACCCTCTGAATGCTTATCAGAAATGCTAGACTGAGCGTTTCCCTTGCTGCAGACCAACCGTGGGGACCAACCTGTGTTTCAGCTCCTGTTGACTGTTGCTCCTAAATCTCAGCCCTGCTCCGCCTGGAATACAAGATTTTTTAATCGTTCTGTTTTCTTTTTTGCTGCGCATGCTTATCAGAGAACCATGCTGGAGAGACTACAGTCTGCTTTGAAAACTGTGAAGGAGTCTAAACGTAATTATCTGCTCTGTTTCTTGCTGTGTGGTTACCAGAAATGGGGATGTTTTCATGCAAGCGTTGCTCGTTCTGTGTTGTAAAGTTCGCCTGTGTTGACAGCATGGAAGTTAAGATTGTCACGCTCACATGTTCAGACAGCTGATGGCACTGTTTGTAATTGTGCTGAATGAAGCAGCACTTTGTGGACAGGACTTTAGCTCCTGAAATGACGAGTTGATGATCTGTGCATTAGAGCTGTCAGGGAGATTCACATGCAACTGGATGTAAAGGTTTAGCAGCGGTGTTTGAGTGAGGCACGCTCCACCTCTTGGTCTTCGTGGTGCATCTAACAGCGTCTGTGTCCGCAGCTTCATTTGGGCTGCGGAGGTGAACTTTACGATGACAGGAAGGGGGGCTGTTACCTTCCATGAGTGGTGATCAGTGCAGCATGTCAGAGGCAGGCGGGCTGCTGCAGTGGGATGGATGTGGACAGGAGAACTTGGTGGGGGTGGGGGTAGACCCTGCAGAATAAAGCAGCAGTCCATCTGGATGCATCTGTGTGTTGTTTAAATGCATCCGTTTTTGCATCTGTGGCCGAGCGTCCCAAGGTCTCTGCATGTGAGTCAGTGAGCGTGTGTGTGTGCACAATAGAGGCTGTTTGTGTGTTTATTCATGTGTTTGCTGATGTATTATGCATGATAAGAAGACTATGTCCAAATCTGCCTTGGCTTTGATTTGACCTGATTGCTGTTTCTGCCTGGGTCACCCAGATTACACTCAGATTGGAGATGTTTCTGGGCTCTGATTTATAGGCCCTGCCTTTTAACTGATTCATCCTCCCCCATGTGACATGCACTTCATTTTGTATGACATATTCCCTGGCCCCTCATCACAACTTTAATCTGTTAACAAGCGCACCGTTTCACAGTATAAATCAATTCAAACGTGCTATTTTTGTCCCAGTGGGGTGGAGAGGAAAAAGGATTTCATAAACTCAGCTAAATGAGAGCCTCAGAGTGTTTTTCTCGCCTGATGGGTTACGTAAGGCCACTGGCAGGACTCTGGAGGGGCCAGCTGTCACCAAAATGCTGCGTACTCTCAAAGCAGGGTCAGGGAGAGAGTAACAGGGAGTTAACTAAAACACAGGCTGGACAGACAGAGGCAGCCTGTAAAACTGCAAAACTGTAAAAACCCTTTTAGCTGCTGAAGATTACTAGATGGAAATTTAATTCTGGCCTGCTCGGATGCTGATTAGAGTCAAACTAACTTCTGAGAGAGCTCATCAGATGGAGAACAAGGTAATTTATATAAGTTAAATGTTTTACCTCCAAAGTCTGTGGAATCGCAGCAACAACACATTTAAATTTAGTCTTTGACCTCTTTGTCACATGTTTTATTTATCATGCTTATTAATATTACAGTTCATGCAGAGGCTGGAGGGGATGATGGCCAAAATGTCTTCTAAAATAATGAATTTATTCAGCCTGCACAATAAAATAGACACACTTTGTGTGTGATTATGTGGTTATGTGTTGCGTAAACCAGTGACACGTTTACCACCTTCAAATTTGTGGATTTTATGTTTAACTGAATACCCAGAGACAAGAACTGAATGGTAAATGATAAATGGACTGTACTTATGTAGCGTCTTTATGTCTTATCAAGATACTCAAAACTCTTTACAACACAATCTGTGTCCTCATTTACCCATTCATACAGCACTCTACTAGATCTTTCCTAAGAATAATCAGTGCTTTTATCACATTCATACACTGATGGGACACACATCGGGGTCAATGAGGGGTTCAGTGCCTTGCCCAGGGACACTTCGGCATGTGACTGCTGGTGGGATCGAACCCCCAACTCTCCCACTGGAGGACGACTGCCCTAAACACTAAGTCACAGCTGCCCCGACTGAAGAGTGAACAAACGTCAAGACGGATAATAAATTTAGTGGTTTTATTTACAGTGAGTAATAAAACACATCAGGAACCCTGAGGAGCAACAGCACAAGTTAGATGATATTTTCCAAGAGGAGGACAATATTGTTGGTAGATTTCAGATCTTACTGTAGGTTGGGTAGTAGGGCGTGTGGTTGGAAGGCGAGGAAAGCAGCTGAGGAGACGCAAGAGATTTCCAGGGGTCTTTCAAAGAAAGTCCGGGCACAGGTAGTTCACGAGGAGAGACAAAAGGAGCAAAAGGAACACGGGTAAGTTTTTGTCAAGGATCATAGAATACAAAAGGGCTAGAAGCACGACTACCAGAGGCAGGTAATGCTCCAGCGGCGAGGAGAAGTCATCTACTGCCTTTTATACTCCTGGCGTCTCAAGGAGATTATCTTCCATCCATCCATCTTTACCCGTTTCTTCCATTTTGGCTCACGGGGATTGCCGGTGCCCATGTCCAGTAGTCACTGTGCGAGGGGCGGGGTGCATCCTGGACAGGTCTCCAGTCCATCACAGGGCCACATGGAGACAAATGAGACAAACAAACATTCACTCTCTCACTCACACTTAGGGACCATTCAGAGACACCAATCAGCTTAAAATGAATGTTTTTGGTCTGTGGGAGGAAACCGGAGCACCTGGAGAAAACCCACGCATGTACAGAGAGAACATGCAAACTCCACCCAGAAAGGCCCCCGGACCGGGATTAGAACCAGTAACCTTCTCGCTGAGAGGCAGCAGCTCTACCAGTTGCGCTACCATGCTGCCCAAGAGATTATCTTCAGGTGCCATCTAGTGTCCTCAGAGCAGCAGGACAAACAGGAACTCCCACATATTTTAGAGGAGTTGAAACTAAAAGTCACTGACACAGAGTAAAGTTTGGGTCTTGTCGTGCACAGTGTGACAGATTCAGGACAGGGACATATAGCGGGCACACTTTCATTTTATGATACTTGATTTTTGAGGTGAAAGACGAATTATTAAACAGGAAAAAATGTTACCAGGGTGGAAAGATGGAGAGAGGAGGACCAGGAGAAGTGTTTCTTGGAGACAAAGGAGAGGAGTCATTAAGTCCAGAGCTGAATTATAGTTGTCTTGAGATTTTTGGCTCATGTTTTGTGGAGGGAATTCTTCCTTCTTTTAAATGAACTACCTTTAAGTTAAAGTGATTAAAGTCCTGCTTCAACGTCATCAGATCAAGTCTGAACCACTGGACTGATTTTTGTATGTCCTGTTTTCAGCTGCGTCCCTTTTCCCCCATCGTTTTGTGACCATCCGGCGAGGCAGTCCGGCAGCAAAAAGCGGTCAGATCCGAGCAGGAGACCGTTTGGAGGCTGTGGAGGGGAGGCCGGTGGGGGCTCTGCCCCATCGGGAGCTCGCTCAGATTCTTCGCAGGGCAGGAAACACACTGCGTCTGACCATTGTTCCCCGCTCCACCACCTGTGAGTTCACACACACATCAGACAAATACACACAACGTGGCTCTGAATGAAACACCTGACCTCCACTATCATCCCCCTCAGATTCCTCAAACCTTACAGAAGCTGCTGACCATGAGCACAGCCACAGAAGCAGAAAGGGTCAGAGGTCACGTCCTAAGGTGAGGACGTTTAAAGTGTCTGTGGTTTCCAGTTATAGTTTATAATATTTGCTGTGGTGAGGACAGTCATTTGTCATTTTAACCCTTTTTCATCCCAGCGTGACTCGAGGTATTACAGCGTGGATCTGGATCGGGGCCCCTCAGGCTTCGGCTTCAGCCTTCGAGGGGGAAGTGAGTACAACATGGGCCTCTACGTCCTGGGACTGATGAAGGGTGGACCAGCCTCGCGAAGCAAAAAAATACAAGTGAGCCTCCTTGCGTTATACACCACATTAGTTGTACATTTTCTGTGTAATGTTACTAAAGTAAAGATGTTCTGCTCATACTTAAAACAAGTCAGAGCTCATATTTGATACAGCCAGGGTTCATTAATTAAAAAGGACTCTAAATGACCTGCAGGACATTTCCAATTACATAAATTACATTTATGCAACTTGGTTGCATGACTATGTTCAAATATCCCGCGTGTTGGGGTAAAGTCGAGCCCTCTACACCTCAAGTTTTTCTCTTATATTTTAAAATGAGAAACAAGATGAAAAACAATCAAACTTTAAGTTAAATAAAACTTCCCAGTGGTAGTACTGTATTTTCCAGCATATAAGTTGCAGTTGTTTATGTAGCTTTTTCAGTCCTGCAACTTATACGCCAAAGCGACGTATATGTGGTTAATTTTTCATATTCATAATGCAATTTTTGACTGACGCTTTAAATTTCTAAGAACTGCAACAGCGAGTCCTCTTGTGTGGTCTCGCTTCACTCAGCTGGTGCAGGCGGAGGAACGCTGGAGAGCTAGTGGCTCTGGCCACGATGGCTGGCTGGCTGGCTGGCTGGTTGGATGGATGGATGGATGGCACAGCGCTGTCCAGGCGAAATAAAGCAGTTTTGACCATTAAATAAAGGCATAATAAATGCGACTTATATGCCGGAAAATACGTTATTTATCAGGACTGTAACAAAATGAGTTGTGATGCCACCATGAGGTGGCTTTAGGGGTAAATCTCTCAGCTTTTGCATGTTTTGCGATGAAGAGTGAGATTAGAGCAACGTTGTGGCTGCAGGTGAGTGATCAGCTGGTGGAGATAAACGGGGACAGCACGGCCGGGATGACCCACAGTCAGGCGGTCGAGATGATCCGCAGAGGAGGACAACACATCCACCTGGTCCTCAAGAGAGGAAACGGCTACGTGCCTGATTACGGTAAACCAGAACAAATTGTCACTGAAACGTATGAAGCTCATGTCTTTTGATGGGAAGTGCATGTTTGGGGGGTAATCTTCTCTAGTCCTTCTTATTTAAATGTAGTCTAACCAAAATACTTTCTACTTTTCTACGCTCTCCTTCACTTCTCTGTTGTCTCACTTTTTAACCCTCTTTGTTTCATTTGATCCTTTTTTGCATTCTTTGCTTGCAACTATTCATGCCACATTTCCCCCTCTGCATGATTTTCCTTTGGTTTCCTCCCTGAAACATTTCTGTCCACTCTTTTGTTTCCTCTCCTTCACGTCTTCTCTTTGACTCTCAGTGGAGCTCTCCAGTTTGTCTCTATGTATGACCAACTCCAAACTAGGCGAGCCTTGCTTCTATGTCATTGGACGGACAGAGAATACGCGGTTGGTAATGGTTCCTGTTAGTTCTCCCATTTTCTGCCTCTCTACATCCCTTTAAACCAGCCACCAGCCTACCACTGAATAAAATATTGCCCTATATTTGACATTCTATGTTCATCATCTTAATTAATAAGGAATGTACAATATGTTCATTACCTTAGTTGACTTCCCTTTAACCAGCCTTGAAGCAGATTTATCCAGTCTTATCATTTGAATATGCATCGTAAAACAGCATAATTACACATTTTTAGAGCATAACACTAATTTAATGTTTTGAATTGCTAATGAATTTTGCACTAAATTAGAAAAGCAGCTGTTCTTACACAAGCTGACCTGATTTATCCCAGAAGAATACACTTTGGAGCTAAAGGATGTTTTATAAAGAGATTTTGGTTTCCCTGTTTCTTGCCGTCCTAATAAATCTATTTTCTCTTCCTGTTTCCTCTCTGCCTGATGTCTGCCCAGCCCTTGAGCACAGAATCACCTCCTCCTCCCTCCTGTCCAACCCCAAAAAGCAGGGTGTGGCTGCAGTGAACTCCAGCAGGTGGAGGGAGCACAGCTCCGTGCAGAAGAGGAGAAGCAGGTCGCAAGGAGACGAGAGAGGGAACAGGAGGAGAAGAAGAAGACGGAGCGCAGGGGAAGGAGAACGCTCAGGTTTACAAAACCATATTGCTGAGCGGAGAGAGAGGTCTCGGGAGGACAGCTCAACCA